GCTCTGGGTGACCCTGCTTGGGCAGGGGGTTGGGCTGGGTGACCCACAGAGGTCCCTTCCAACCCCGACCATTCTGTGATTCTGTGAGAAGAGCACTGTCGTGTTGATGAGGTCCTGTAGACCAGGGGTAGTCAGTAGCTTTTCAGCTAAACTCTTTTTTGTGGAAAGAATCCGGGCTTTTCGTTTGCTTTTGAGGCAAAACCATTTCTGCCATTCCCAAGAAGCTGGTGAGCTGCAGCTTGCTGCGGGGTTGCACGACGGGTGGCTGTGTTGGGGCTTGGCCCGTGGCTGGTTGTTCAGACAGCCTTTGGCTGTCGGCGTCTCCCTCTCTGAGGTGCCCTTCCTTTGCGGGGGTGTTCCCTTGGTGGGTTTACCTGACGGCTGTGTGTTCAGGCTTACCAGTGACAACGTGGCTTGTTGGGGAAAGCAGAAGACCCCAGGGGGGCACAGTGTGGATTTTACCCTGCAGGCACAGAAGGATTGATCGGTGGTTTTCTGTCTTGGTGGGAAAAGTTGCCCAGTGGTGGGATTTCTCTCTGGCAGAGACCATAAGGTGATGTGCCCTGACAGCCAGTGCGTTGCCTGTCCCCTCTGCTAGTCACTGTAGGCTCACCGCTACCTTTCCTGTGTGAAGGGGGAAACGATTTTTTGTTCTGACCCGGTCATTTTTTTCCCGTGTGTTGTAAAGCGTGTTGGATAGATCATCTTCGTTGTCATTCTGCTGCAGAGATAACGCTGTCCCTCGTCTCGTTTCAGAACTGTGGCTGCTGAAGTCAGGAAGCAGATCTCGGGGCAGTATGGAGGGTCTCCCCAGCTTCTCAAAAACCTCAATATTGGAGGCAGCGTCTCTCATCATACAACTGTAAGTAATGCTTGGAGCGTGGAAGGCTGAAGAAGGTGTGCATCGTTATTTTGATTACCATTTGGAAAGAAATTGCATTACTGACAGGTGGCTGACCTAAGCGGCCGTGAGAACATGAAGGAAAATAATTCCTGCTAGTTTTGGAGGGGTCTTAACTTGCAAATCACTCGGTGTGGCTGGGAATTTGTGTTTCTGCAGAATCTTTGTAGGACAAGGGGCTCCCTTGACCAGATATTGGTTGTGTTATCCCAGAACAGCCTGGACTGGGCATTAAGTTCCACGTGCTTGTGTGGCTCTCTCCATGAAGAGCTCTTTGCAAGCTCGTGCACTTCAGGTGGTTGTTTTCTTGTGTTTTTTATCACTCTTGAGAGTGGGACCAGAGTGGCTCATCTACTCTTCAGGGGTATTTTAACTGTTGTGGTGAAAGTTGAATGTGGTTATTCCTCAGGAATATGGATTTACTTACAAGTTGGCGGTCCGTTTTCAAGAGCGGGTGAAATGTGGGCCACGTTTTCAGAATCGCTCTTTCTGAAGTCAGATTTTCTTGCATGGCGTACCAGTAACCTTCAAAATTTATTCAGCGTGGTGGTGAAAATTTCAAGAGTTCAGTGAACTTTTTCAGGCTGGAACTGTGTTTTTGGAAGTGTTCTTTTGATTTGAGTTGTTGCTTCAGTTCACAGCAGTTTCTTTTGCAGCAGTCAACTTGGAAAACAAATATTGTAGCATCTTGTTTTCTTCAGAGAAGGTTGATTAATTTGGGCAGTACTGGAATTTGATAGTCTATGCAAGTGCTCTGAGTTTACAAAAGGTCCTCGCTTGTTCTGGAGTAGGGTCCTGAAGAGTTTCCTCAGTTTGTGTACTGCTCTGTGTCCAACGTGATGCGTTAAAGCTTTCTCATACAGAGCACAAATGCGTCGTTGGAGCTACTAGCGTCTCAAAAGAGATCTCCAAGACTAACTTGACCCCTAGCTTAGAAGAATGGCTTCGCTTCAGGCTGAAAGCTCCTCTTGAAGGAGACTCAGCTGTGCCAGAGTCACTGGGGCATGAGGAGGGCTGGAACTCCTGTCGTTTCCCTCGGCGTCGGCTGTGTGGGTACCAGGAGGGCAGAAGGCTGGCGTTGTCAGGGCTCTGCCCAGCCAGAACAGTGAGTGAGCGCCAAGGAGGAGTGGTTAATGAGAGCGGTGTGTCCAGGGCTAATGCTTTATCGCAGCAACCTCTGCAGGGGTGTGGGATGGTAATGCAAAGCCCTGACTTGGCAGTTCTGCGTGGTCTTTTGCATAATCCAGTATTAGGCAATAAGCAGGGACCCCTGCTATTAGCGGCGTACACTGGATGGAGCGCTCGGGGTCATGGAATCCACTTCCCCGCAGCAATGGATAGCTGAGGAATAGATGCCCACTTTTGAAGGACCCGTGGGATGTCTGTCCCGCCAGCTTCTGTGCCTCGCTTGTCTCGGATGTGGTTTCATCCTGGAACAAGTTGGCTGAATTGCCTTTCTATTCCCTGTTGCTTTCATAAAGCAAGATCTCTTCTGCGTACCTCTCCAAGCTGTTCCTCAGCCAGCCATATTTTAATAATTATTTTTCCTTGTGTCACCTCCTTTCGCTCTGAATTGTCTCCTCTGCTTTTTCTTCCTATTTCTAACTTTTTTCCATTCTGCCATTATCAAAGTGTGCGTGCTCAAAGCTTCAGTCCTGTTGATCTTCACATGTAATTCTTAATGCAGGATCAGATTCGTTGGTCACAGTATTGTCAGCCCTGTCTTCACTTCTGGTATCTCTCATTGTCCCGTTGCTGTTGTCTTTTCTAGTAAATATATGCAAGAATCTATAAAAGTCCTGGAAAAGGCCATGCTGACTGGAAGCAGGCTCTGAGCCTTTCCTATCAAACTGCGTTGCGTGATGGTTGGTGTGATAAGCTCCGAGTTTGTCATATTAAATTCTGCGCTGAGCAGAGATGCTCTTCAGAAGCATGATTAACATGGAGTGATAGTTTGTAGGGGAGAGTCTGTAGGAAGAGCAGATTTAGTGAAGTCATGAGTCTATATCCCGAGGCTGCGTAATATGACAGAGGTTTGCTTGTACTGAATTTTGGGTTAATTTCTCTTCCTTAGGCACCCGTCAGAATCTGCTGTGCCTGGCTGTCCTGGTTTGGTAGCAAACATTATGCAGAGAGAAAGCATTACTGCTGTGAAGCTGAAATAGCTATTTGCTCTGGAAAAGTTCAGAAGTTTTTGTGCCGTTATGCTTCTACAGAGAAGAAAGAGAAGGCCCTGAATCTGCCTGGCAGTTTAGTGCAGCCATACTGGCTTGAAAGCCCGGAGTAGGGCGCATAGTGTGGGTTGAAATAGGAAATTTGTGCTAAAGCGTGTGGATGTTGTAATGCTGCGTGATGGAGTTTCACGTGAGTATCTCCACAGCGGGAGCAAGTTGCGCCGTTGAGCCTGCAGCGTGGAGCTGGAGGACTTTTAAAGGTGATGCAGATGTGGTCTCTCCTGTCCAGCGCATCTTGCTCATCGTGTTGAGCGCGTCCGTAGATCGCTATGATCCAGATAAGGTCGGCACTGATTCTCTGGTGGCAGTTGCCACCCGTAGCTGCTTGTGGTAGTTTGTCTGAGAGTTCTACTACACACAGTCCAACGGGGACATTTTTAGGGGGAAGTGTGTGCTTTTGTGAGCGAAGGGCCCTCAGCACTGTGCTTGGTTGGCCCGTTTGTTTCTTGTTGGCTGCAGCCAGTGCAGGGACTTTTCACACTCAGCAGGCTCGCGTGTGGTTGAACCTAGGATAAATGCAAAAACCTGTCAGCTGCATTTTAGCACGTCTCTTCCCTTTTGCTTCACAGGCAGCAGACAAAACGCTGCCAGAACTGTTTCTAATTTAGTATCTGGTAGAGCTGGGGAGAAGACGCTGCTTGCAAATGACTGTACAGGAGCTTGTGGTTATTATTGTCAGCCTCCACCCTGCTGCCACTTGAGGAGCAGCTGATTTGAATTGCACATTCTTCAAACCACAGATACAGGTCCAAAGCCTTTGGAGGCTTTTCCTGTATAACCCAGCGTGCTGAGCTGGGACTCCTTGCAGGACGCAGCGCTTGTAGCACTGAGCTTTTAGTTTTGAAATCCAGAACAGAAGGCACTAACAATTTGTTACTGAGAAACAGGAGCTGGTAAAGCATTAGAGTTACATGAAGGAGGTTTTGTGTTTGGAAGTTAGTTTTGCAAGTCTCTCAAAATCCCCTGGTGAATCAAGTGTGCGTTTGCACCTCGCTGTTTGCGTTCTGGATTGTAAGCCACGTGCTGCGCTCATCTTCGGTGCATCGAGAGGTTCAGTGTTCCCTCTTGGGAGCTGGGGCTTCCCACCACCAGACTCACAGAATCACAGAATGGTCGGGGTTGGAAGGGACCTCTGTGGGTCACCCAGTCCAACCCTCCTGCCGAAGCAGGGTCACCTACAGTAGGCTGTAGAACACCTTGACCAGGCGGGTCTTGAATATCTCCAGAGAAGGAGACTCCACAACCCCCCTGGGCAGCCTGTTCCAGTGCTCCGTCACCCTCAGAGGGAAGAAGTTCTTCCTCATGTTCACACGGAACTTCCCATGCTCCAGTTTGTGCCCATTGCCCCTTGTCCTGTCGCTGGACTCCACTGGAAAGAGCTTGGCCCCATCCTCCTGACACCCACCCTTGAGATATTTGTAAGCATATATTAGGTCCCCTCTCAGCCTTCTCTTCTCCAGGCTGAACAAGCCCAGCTCCCTCAGCCTCTCCTCGTAGGAGAGATGCTCCAGTCCCCTCATCATCCTCGTAG